TTTTTTTCGTCCGCTTAATGCATTAATTTCTGCGGTAGATACTATTTTTTCTCTGACTAGTGCAGAGTCACTATCCTCACTGCAGTCACTAATACAGTCACTGTCGGACGACAACACGCGATCTTCGTCTTCGTTTTCCATTTTATATATTATCACACAATATATATATCATACTTTCTAACAGAACACTATACTTTCTGAGAGAACACTTTCTGAGAGAACACTACTTTTGTTACCGACGTGTCGATGCGCTTTCAAATCACGTATTATGATCTGATGCGCTTCAATCCTTATATTCGACTAACAAACTTTCAGAGATTGTCGGGGACAAAAATTTTTTTGCAAATGCGCTATTATATTACGTCGATACACAGATTGCTTGAAAAGGTTGGACCGAAATATCTCAAAAATATAAGTTTATGAAATAAAGTTATTAAAAATATATATATAAGGGTATAAAAGGTTTTTTTACAATATCCCATTTGCAAAAAAATTTTTGTCCCCGATAACCTCTGAAAGTTTGTCAACTTACTCTGTATTGTTCATACGTTGAACGGAAAAAAAACCTAGAATTCTTTATATTAGGGGAGTGTACCGCGAGAGCACAAAGCAGCCGAACATCGGCGCTGATATATAAACGGAGGGAGCGGGGGGGAGACAAAGCAGTCGAACATTGGCGCTGTTAAAATTTTTCCTCAAAAAGTAAAATAAAAAATAAAATAAAAAATAAAATAAAAAATAAAATAAAATAAAATAAAATGATAAAAATGATTTTTTTGGGTTAGGCCCAAAATCATCTTCAAAAGAATACCGCCCTTTTTTCTTGCATGTCATAAAACATCCAACACGTGCATCCCTCACCCCGCAACCCCTGCGTGACGTCATACCCCCGCTCCGCTGAGATCCCCTCGCACCTCACCTCCCCTGAGAGGACCTGAGTTAGAACCCGCCTAGTACTAACTACTGGTAGGGGTCACTGGGGTATTGCGCCTGCCTCTCCGATGGCATGAGAGAACCTATTGGCACGATTTCTGCATACTCCCTGGTCTAGCTAGCGCTGTGCTAATTGGTACCGACCTGTGGGCTAAGATGGGATTCACTTTGCTGCCACCTCCGTTGAACCAGACCGGGGCGGTTTCCCGAACCAACACGATCACCGTCGGCCCCAGCAACGAAGCAAACGAAGAAACGCAACTCCGGGACTTTTTGGCTGCTGAGTTACCGTTGTTTGAAGTAATCACGGGACGAACCGACCGAGCCGAACATCGCATCCGGCTAAAGCCTGGACCGCCCATCAAACAGCGATACCGGCCTCGGAACCCGGCCATGCAAGCCGTCATCGATGAGGAGGTCGACCGAATGCTCGCCGAAGGCGTCATCGAGCCCTCGAACAGCGCTTGGAGCTCACCGGTAGTCATAGTTCGAAAGAAAGATGGGCAGTATAAATTCTGCATCGATTTCCGCAGGTTGAATGCGGTATCAGATAAGGACGCCTATCCCTTGCCGCACATCACGGCTAGACAAATTGCGCGGGGCGAAATACCTGACAACGTTAGATTTAAAGAGTGGTTACTGGCAGATACCACTGAACCAAGAGAGTCGACCCGCAACCTCCTTCACCGTACCAGGAAAGGGTTTGTATCAATTCACGGCCATGCCTTTCGGGTTGCACTCGGCCCCGGCGACCTTCCAGCGGTTGCTAGACACAGTGATCGGCCCCGACCTCGAACTTAACGTCCTCGTATACTTGGACGATATAATAATCGCCAGCAAGACGTTCAGCGAACACCTGCAACACTTAAGAGAGGTCTTCCGGCGACTACGCGAGGCAAGGCTACGCTTAAACCTGGATAAGTGCCACTTCTGCCGTCCGAGCCTCTGTTATCTAGGACATGTAATTGACAGACGAGGGATATACACGGACCCAGACAAAGTCAGCGCCATCACCAGTTGGCCAGCTCCCACCACCGTGCGCAAGGTCCGACAATTTTTAGGAATGGCCTCGTGGTACCGGAGGTTCATCCCGAATTTGTCGACACTAGCTGCGCCGCTGACAGCGCTGACCAAAAAACGAGCTGGCTGGACATGGGGGACCCCCGAAGACGCAGCCTTTCAACAACTGAAAGAAGTATTGACTTTCACACCGGTTCTGGCCTGTCCGGACTTCCAGAAACCGTTCCTGCTACAAACCGATGCCATTTCACATGAGCTAGGAGCTGTGCTAACGCAGCACCAGACGGAGGGAGAGCGAGTAATCGCATACGCCAGCCGAACGCTCAACGATGCCGAGCGGAACTACAGCGCGACCGAGTTGGAATGTCTCGCCGTGGTATGGGGAATCCGGCGAATGCGAGACTACTTGGAGGGGTATCGATTCACCGTGGTAACTGACCACCAGTCCCTCAAGTGGTTGCAACATCTGGAGAACCCGTCCGGGCGCCTGGGGCGTTGGCTCTTCGAACTGCAACAGTTCGACTTCACCATACATTATAGGAGAGGAGGACAAAATCAAGTAGCCGATGCCCTCTCCCGGGAGCTGCAGCTCAACGCAATGCAACACCGGATAGCGTGCCCATGGTACCAACGCCTCTTCAGAGAGATAAAGAGCCGACCAGACGAGTACCCTGATTACGAGATACATGACGGCCAACTATTTCGACATGTGCTGCACGACCTGGATTTTAGCGAGGTACCCTCCACCGAACAATGAAAACAGTGCGTCCCTCGGGAACAGCGGCTCGACATCCTACGCCGACTACACGACGACCCAACCGCAGGACATCTAGGAGTGGCTAAGGCCATCGCCCGACTCGCCCGGTTGTACTATTGGCCGGGAATATTCCGGGAGACAGCCCGGTACGTTCGGAGCTGCCCGAACTGCCTAGCCCACAAGGTACCACAGCAACAACCAGCAGGGAACCTACACGCTACCCCAGTAACCGCCCCGTGGCAGCAAGTCTCAGTGAATCTAGTCGGTCCTCTGCCACGTTCGGTCCGAGGACATGTCTGGCTCCTGACCGCCCAGGACCGGTTTAGCAAATAGATCGAAATGGTTCCCCTGCGACGCGCCACCGCCACGGCACTAGCGAAAGAAGTAACCCGCTGCGTCATCTACCGGCATGGATGCCCGGATCAACTCATCTCGAACAACTGGACCCAGTTCACCTCTCGCCAGTTCCGCACCTTGCTGGCATCATTCGGGATCCAGCACCGCACGTCGCCTGTCTACGCGCCGCATTGCAACCCGGTGGAAAGGGCGAATCGGACCATCAAAACCATGATCAGTCAATACGTGGGCGACCGGCACCGGGATTGGGACGAGCGCATTGACGCGTTACAGTTCGCGGTGAACACCGCCCGGCAGGAGGCAACCGGATACACCCCGGCCTTTCTGCTCCACGGCCGCGAACTGGCACCTCCATATCTTGCCGAGCGGCAACCAACGCCAAACCCGACTTCCCTGGAGTTGCATCGACAACGCCTGGAAGAGGCCTATGAAGTCGCCAGGATTCATCTAGACCGAGCCTTCCAAAAACAGAAGCGCCACTATAACCTGAGACGACGCGACTGGCGCCCCCGGGTGGGCGACAAGGTTTGGAAGCGAGAACGTCCCCTGTCAAGCCGCGACGACGCGTTTAACGCCAAACTCGCCCCTCGATTTTCGGGACCCATGGAAGTACGCCGGATAATATCCCCAGTCATCGTAGATCTACGCGACGAACACGGGAAATGGCATTGGCATATCCACGTACCTGAAACCACAACCGAACATACCGAAAAACCCTCGGGTGGACGAGGACGACGCGTAATCCGGCAGAAAGTTACCGACCACGCCAAAGTATCGCCCCCTTTGGGCATTCGGTTGGACTCCGTTACTAGGGATCTTCCCTTAGAATCACGGGCCACCTACTGCCCGACCTGCGACCGCCGGGCCACCTACTGCCTGACCTGCGACCGGACTCCGCTACGAGACTTCCCTTGGAACCACGGGACACCCCGAGCCACCAGAAATTCCGCGAACATCCCCTCCACACGCAGTACGACGAGTATATAAGGCCGCGCCACCCCGTACGAATTAACAGTCGCCATGGACCGACGCGAGTTGAACGACCTCTTCGGAGAAATTAGCTCCAGCTCTGAGTCGGACACCAGCAGGCCCACGCCGACAACCACGACGCCGCCGACGCTCGCCCGCCGAATCGCCACCGCCTGCAACCCCGAGCCCGGGACTGCCGCGACGTCCGCCGCGTCCGGGAACGTCGGTCCAACGATCCGACCGGACCAACCACCGGCGGCGTTGCCAGGATGATAACTGGAAAGCCATCATCCTGGCAACGCCGCCGGAGATTAAGCCGCGCCGCCGCGGAAGAATCGCCTCCCTGGCCAACTCCCGATCTGCTGCCAGCCGTCCACCAGCCGCCAGGACCAGCAAGGCCTCGACGTCCCGGCCACCGACCACCGGACCGCATTCCTCCGCCGGAGCCCCTACTACCCGGCCGATGAACATCGGGCCGCCTACTACCCGGTCCACGACCGCCGAGCCGTGCACTACCCGGCCGGCGACCACCAGACCGTCTACTGCCCGGCCTGCGACCGTCGGACCGCCTACCGCCCGGCCTGCAAACATCGGGCCGCCTATTACCCGGCCCACGACCGCCGAGCCATGCACTACCCGGCCTGCGACCGTCGGACCGCCTACCGCCCGGCCTACAAACATCGGACCACCTGCCACCCGGCCTGCGACCGCCGGGCCGCATACTGCCCGGCCTGCGCCCATCGGACCGCATACCGCCCGGCCTACGACCGCCGGACCACCCACGGCCGCCGGGCCACCCGCCACCCGACCGGCAACCGCTCGACCACCGACCGCCAGGCCACCCATCGCCGGGTCTATCCCAGTACGCCTGGACGACGGCACCATCGTCGAGGTCCCCGCCGGATCGGCCATCGTCGGGCGGAGGTATAAAGTCCGCACCGCGTCAGGTCGATGGGTAATCCGGTTCCACCCGGACGGCCGCCTCCGAGCAGTTCGGCGCCTCGATGGACCTCCCTAAGCGCGAGGTGGTGTGACGACGCTCTCGCATAGTCACTGTAAATAGTCTTGTATATAGTAGTGTTAAATTGTTCTCTAGTTATATTATCGTTCATTGTTTATTCGTTTATACCATTTATATTGTTCATGTGTTCCTTATTGTTCTTTCCTGATTTATATGGTTTATAAAATAAAGACGTTAACTGACAGTTTCCCGCGAGTAAATTCTTTACTCGACGCCTCTGGCGATCCCGCCTATGGGCTTCCCCACCTAGTCTCACTCCCTCCTCGACGCACGCGAGCATGGGGGGCCCTCGAACCGTATAAAAGACGGCTCGCGCAACAGACCGGCACCTATTCCTCTCCAGTTTCCGATCTGATCAGAACCTCTGGGAATACCGAGGCATCTCGAATCCTGACCGTTCTGCGTTTGCCCGGCATTCGGCTTCCTGACCGTTCCCGCCGACGGAGACGGGTGTGATCTCTCCGCCGCTTAGGTTTGCCCGGCATTCGGCTTCCTGACCGTGCACGCCGACGGAGACGGGTTTGACCTCTCCGCCGCCTGGGTTTGCCCGGCACTCGGTTTCCGCGCACCACCGTACGGTGAACTCCGCGTTCGCGACGCGCTCGCTGACCGAATCCGTGACCGACCGCCTAGGTTAAGTTACCTGTAATCGTCCGTAGACTAAGTTAGAAAGATAAGTGCGCACCGTCGTAGTCTAAGCTCACGTAAAATAAGTTAGTTGTAATCTCTCGTAGGATAAGCCGTTTATAATTTTCCGTAGGCTAAGTTTGTTGCGCTCCGCGTAGAATAAGATTTAGGATAAACGATTTACAAATAAAAGCTTGTTTAGTACTAAAAGAGGACTCGTAAGTTTGATTCTCCTACCTACTCCCGAATCTTGGAACCGGCGAGCCAGTCCGTGGCGATCGGGATAGGCTGTACCGTTGCAAAGCTCGAAAAGAACAATGTAGAGCAGTATCGCCTAAGACAGTCTTATTTTCATTTATATATACCATACATGCATTACATGAATGAATTTCTGTACATCTTTTAATTAAAAATCCACATATGTAAATGCATTTTTTTTCTGGCAGATCCATGGAGTAATAATCATGATTTGGGATATCTAAAATTTTACATGGCAAAGATGTAGTAAAATTTGGAGTATGATTAGCACAACTTGCTTTTTTAATGAAAGTTAACATTTGGTCATTATCTTGAGCACAATTTTAATCTTCTGAGTGCTGTAAAAATTTATATTTTCATACTAAGTAATTTTTTAAAGGCACGTACAAATTGAATTGGAGTTGGATTCAAAGAATTACTACTTTGTTGCCTAATAGTACCAAAGAAATTTTCGACACAATCTTGATTAATTCTTCGTGTTTGAAGATAAGAAAAATTTAAATGTTTTAATGTATTCCATAATTGAATTATACTTGAAATTGTAATCTGCCAGAATTCAAATCATTTAATTTTTACAGTTGCAGTGAACCGTTATTAATAACATTTATATGCTTAAACAAATTTAATATTTCTTTTAGGAATCTAATTTGTTTTTCGCTACCCGTGAAAATTTTTCCATATTCTTTTGGATTATTTAATGCAGATAAATTTAATATATTAAATAATTTATCTAATTTTTCAATAAAATCTATTGTGCCAAGTGCTTCAATTGAAAGAAAACCATAAGACATTTGTGTGCATATTCCTGCAGCTACCCGATTACTAAATACAACAGCATGTTGAACAGCATATTTAACTTTCATTCGTTGAAAGGAATTTGATTCAAGGTGACATTTAGTTAAATTAGGAGCCATTTTTATCCATTGTTTACAATTTTTGTTATAAAAATCAACGACATGATTCCATGAAGCAATTTTATTATTAAATTGAAAGTTATATTTTAATAAATTATTACGAGTAGCTTTCATTAAATGAGGAGTATCAAAAATATAAATTACTTCTTCCCCATTAATTAAAAAAGTTGAATTTTCTCTCGAAATTCCTAATTCACGGGATAACTGTATAAAATTAGATCCCATATCTGTTATTAATGCATGCACAACAACACCACAATTTCGCAACTTAAAATAATAATATTAAATATAATATTTCTTAACATTTTGACATGATGTTTCTACAAAACAAAAACAAACGGGAAATTTCCAATTTCCAGCAATGCTTCGTGCCATTATGACTAAAGCACCTTTCGCAGGCTGATGTGATTTTTCAATACCTGTATCTTGAAAGCCAATTATATCATCTTGCGATATATTATAAAATAAGAGCTTTCAAACTCATCTCATCAACGTACAATACACAATGTCTTTCCATTGGTGATAATGATTACATTATTATACTTAATACTTCAAAAATTTTATTATTTATTCCAGGTACTATATTCCAAGATTGTGTAAATAATTGAAGAAAACGAACAGAAGGCAAAGCGACACTTTTCAGCAATTCTCTATAAATACACGGACTTGAAAAAAATAATGATAATGCAAATTGCTTGAAATCGGAATCATGTCTCCTTCCACGTTTGTTTTTGGTCAAAGCATCGATCTGCGCAGACAATAATTGTACAAAATGTCCCGAAAATAGCTTACTACCTAATCGTAGAATATTGTTGGCATCGCTGGTTCTTTCGTTGATTTCTGGATTTTCCGTTTGGCTTTTCTTCTGTTTTTCTTTTTTCAGTCGAAGCCGTCGAACCATTTGCCGCAACTTGTTGTTCTGCTTCTTCAATTTTAAAACTTGCATGCGTAGTTTTTTTTGCGAGGACTATTATTCAATGATTTCTTCTTCCCCGTACGCATGGTGTTAGATGTGCTTCTGCAAAATACACAAATATATTTATATGTAATGTAAATTAGACATTGAAGAAAAAGAATTTGTGATATATAAATCCTTTGTGATATATACAGGGTGGACCATTTTAATCTATAATGGAAAATATCTCGGAATGTTGGTGAGATACAACAAAATGTTTCAAATAAAAGTTGCTCTTAGATGCACCTTTGATTTCCCGAAACTTTTGTTATTGACGTTTTTTTCTAGCACGCTTATTTTCCAAGAAAATCAGGTGTGTCCATACTTTTGGGACACGCTGTATAATATATATATAAAGGGTGAGGAAAAAGTACCGGGACACCTAAATAACTTCTGAACGGTTTGAGATATCGGATTGAAATTTACAAGGTTACAATGGTATCACACAATCTATCACATAACACCAAAAACGCCCATTTTGACACCCCCGGGGGGCGGGGGGGAGGGAGGGCGAGAAAATTTTAAATGGAATGTGGGATCGAGTGAGGGTTCGTTTGAAAGAGCTTTTCGAGATGAGAACAACGCGATGTCGCCGAGGTCTCTACGATTTTTTTTCGCAGAGTTATGATCATTTAAACATTGAGATTTCGCAGTAGCGAAGGGCCCACGACGAGGACGTGAGAAAGACTTTCCGCGGACACGTGTGGATAAAATTGCATGTAGGAAGGCATGTGGGATGTGCGTGCTTGCGCAGTAATTAACGACTCCAAACCACCTCTGCTGGTGCGTGCGTGTGTGTGGGGGGGGGGGGGGGTGCGTGTGTATGTGTGTGTGTGTGCAAGACCGAGGATGTAGTATGTAATTAACTAAGGCAAGTATAGGAAGGTTTATATCAATTGTTCAAAATGTGCACCGTCAACTGTTTGACAACAGGCTATCCGATGATAAAAAGATGAAACGGCATTTTGAATGTAATTATGAGGGATAAGAGCAGCTTCCTGAAGAATCCGATTTTGTAATTCATCCAGATTTTGTGGTTTCGTTTTGTAAACTCTTTCTTTTAAATAACCCCACAGAAAGTAGTCGAGAGGTGTTAGGTCAGGCGATCTAGAAGGCCACTCGATAGCTCCTCTCCTACCTATCCATCGCTCAGGAAACATTGTGCTTAGATAATGACGGACGTTCCTTCCGTAATGCGGCGCAGCACCATCTTGTTGAAACCATGTGTCCTCAAAATTGTCCTCCACGATAGCCTGTATTGCTGGAATTATTTCATGTCTTAGCATATCCTCGTACTTCGCTGTTAAATTTCCATCGATGAAAAATGGACCAATGAGGGCATTATTGAGAATGCCTGCCCACATTTAATTTTTGCGGATATTGCGTGTGTGTTTCTTCAATCCAGTGAGGATTTGCGTCAGATCAGAATCTGCAATTGTGCCGATTAACGTTGCCATTTATCTGAAATGTTGCTTCATCTGAGAAAACTATGTTTGATAGAAAGTTAGGATCCTCGTCTATTCTTTCCATCATCAATTCACAAAATTCAATGCGCTTATCAAAATCCTCCTCATTTAGCTCTTGTACAAGATGGGCTTTATAGGGATGAAATTTATTATTTTTTAATATTTTAAGAACAGACTTTTGATCGATGTCTTATAATTACATTCAAAATGCCGTTTCATCTTTTTATCATCGGATAGCCTATTGTCAAACAGTTGACGGTGCACATTTTGAACAATTGATATAAACCTTCCTATACTTGCCTTAGTTAATTACATACTACATCCTCGGTCTGGCACACACACACACACGCACACGCACACCCACCCACACACAAACACACACACACGCACGCACGCACGCACGCACGCACGCACACAGCAGAAGTGGTTTGGAGTCGTTAATTACTGCGCAAGCACGCACACCCCACATGCCTTCCTACATGCAATTTTATCCACACGTGTCCGCGGAAAGTCTTTCTCACGTCCTCGTCGTGGGCCCTCCGCTACTGCGAAATTTCAATGTTTAAATGATCATAACTCTGCGAAAAAAAATCGTAGAGATCTCGGCGACATCGCGTTGTTCTCATCTCGAAAAGCTCTTTCAAACGAACTCTCACTCGACCCCACATTCCATTTAAAATTTT